TTCTAGATAGAGATAGAGATAGACTTTAGAAAATTTAGACTTTTTTAAAGTTTTGAAATTTTTCGAATATTTGTGAAACAGAGTAAATAGACAGGTAGAGAGTCATTTTTCTTTGTATAAATATTTCCTAAGGAATTCTAGTTTTCTCGTCCTAGTAGAAATGGACAGCAATGAGTTCAATTTTACTCAAGAGTAAGGTCCTCTTTAAAATAAATATTTTCTAAGGAATTTTGGATGGAGTCCTCTTCAAGGACTTCTAGTTTGTTAGTCAGTACAGTTCTTTACTGTATGAATATTTTCTAAGAAAGTCTATATTGCTCGTCAGTACAGTCTCTTTCCTTGTAGGAATATTTTCTAAGAAATTCTAGTTTGCTCGTCAGTAGAGTCCCCTTTCTTGTAGAAATATTGTCTAAGGAGTTTAAGTTTGTTTATTAGTAGAGTCCTTTTTTGCATCAAAATTCCCCAATTTTTCTAGAGTTCCTTTTCTGCGACCAAGAAAATAGGTCGTCAGTAGAGTCAATTTTCTGTATAAATATTTCCCAAGAAATTCTAATTTGCTCACCAGTACAGTCCCAGTTTTCTCGTCAGTAAAGTTTTTTTTGTATGAATATTTTACTAATGAATTCTTGTACTAATAAATTCTAAATATTTGAATTTTATATTTATAATATTTTTCAATTTAATAATTCTTTTACTAATGAATTCTATTTACTAATTGCTTTCTGTTTGCTTGTCAGTAGACTCTTTTCCTTGTAGAAATATTTCCTGGGGACTTTTAATTTTATTCGGCAGTAAATTTAGAAACAAGTCATTTTATCTATGGGTCTTAGAATCAAAAAAATAGGCAAAAAACGAAACTTGATGAATGCAAATTTTCGATACTTTTTAGTAAACTTGATGTATTTTGTAAGATTATTTTATACTAGACAATTCAACTCTTAATCCAGTCATTTAAGCTAAAATTAGGTAAGAATCTCAGAATTCGAGATACCCAGCTGTAAGTCAGTAAATACCCCAAAATAAACCCTAAAAGTTGTCTCAAAACCTACATATGGTACGTACATCCTTCTATATGTAAGTTTTGAGACAACTTTCAGGGTGCTATTTTAGGGTATTTACTGACTTACAGCTGGGCATCTCGGGTTGCAAAGTGAACTTACTATAATGACTGGACTATATATTATAGTAATTAATACCATGTACTAAGTGTATTTAAAATTTATTTAAGGGGTTACTTGGGTTTCACGGTTTCAGAAAATCAAAAAAAAATGTTTTGTCTTATTAAATTCTATAACATCTCTAGAATATTGTCCTAAATTGTTAAGTTGATCCGTTTAATAGTTTCGGAGATACAGTCTTGAAAAGGTGGACGCTTGAGGTCCATCTTTATTGTTTCTTAAAACTTTAAACGCGTTTTTTTTCAAAACTATGTTTTCAAAGACGGTTGTCAAGATTTCTTAAGAACAACTCAACTGATCTTGGTGAAATTTTACACAGGTCTTCGAGATATCGTTTATAAGGTATTGAACGAAGGATTTTCTTTTTGTTTAATTACAACTATTTAACAAAGAAAGAATGTCGAGAAATTTTAATCGAAACTTGCATTTTTTTATAAAAACGTCTGCCAAAAATCCAATTTTATTTTTTTCTTTTTTCCTTCGTCCAATACCTAGTTTATTGTCTTTGCAAAAACACGTATTTTTTATTTTTATTTCGGAATTCTGCTGACAACGCGGTGACACCTTTTTTTCGAGGGACTGCCGAAAATGGCGTCATAATGACCGCGATTTTGATTTTTTTTTTTTGAAAATTTTACAAAATGTTTATTAAACATTTTTTAAAATTCATTAAAATATTTCATTTTTTATATGTAAAAAGCATAATTCAGAAAAATGCCGTTTTTTGCTCGAGGAAACCCATGTAACCCCTTAAAACAATAAAATTTTAAATTTGTTTCAGCAACTCCGCCACCAATGTTGAACGGCCCTTGGACTGTTCGAAATGTCAAGGGAGGTGTTTTTGGTTTAATTCATCACCGTGAGTAAATCACCATTATATCTACTAATAAACAATTTAATCAATTTCCAAATTTTGTTAATTTTTTTAATTTATTTCCAGCTGTCTACTGTGTCGGTCCACACGAAGTTTACCAACATTGCGACGCCCATTGCGACCAAATGTGTGATGGGAGCAACAAAATGGGTTTATCTTGCGATTACAGGATCTGCCTGGCAGGATGCAACTGCAAACCAGGTTACGCCAGGAATGACCAGGATAAATGTATTAGGATTACGGAATGCAAGAGACCTCCTATCAAGGAGAAAAGCAGGAAGAAGAAAAAACTTCACAAGAAGCCGAAACCAAATCGTGTTGAAAGATTGGCATGAATTGTTATTGACCAGCATCTGGGTTTGGGCATTGATTGGCAGTTTTGTATTTGGACCACCAAGTCTTTGTGGAAATTTTTAGAAAATTTAAGTTTTCTTATCAACTACATTCTTGCTATTTTATCAATCATCGTCTCAATTCAAAAAACAAGTGAAACTAGAAAGTGCTCAGAACAGCTTGGATTTTGTAGTTTATTTCTTCATTTCAGAAGGGTGAAATATTTTTTTAATCTTCAAACAAACATGTATGATATGGATATAAGGTAATATGTTTTTGAATGGTTTTTCTTGAAATGTAATTTTTTCGGCGTTAAGAATATTTATTATAAGTACAGTTAAATTTTTGACTTTTTCATCGATCTGATGTGATAATTTAGAATTTCTAATAGTTGTAAGTTTTTAGGATTTTGGACACTTTATTAATGATTTATTACTATTTAGCTTTATTTGAAATTTTTGCATTCTTTGTAAAAAAATATCATAAATGTCTTTTCGGTATTTCTAATATTGTTTTCGAAGTTCTTGATATTCACTGGGAATACTTGAAATTTTACTGTTTTTTTTTAACTCTTTTGTTTTTGGGGTTTTTATACAGAATTTTTGTAACATATCATTAGATTTATTTTGTTCTGCAGATTTTTTGTGTCATATTTATTATACATATATCCTTTGATGTGTTTTACATTTTTTTTGTTTTATGTTCCCAGATATTATTGTCATATTCAGACATTTTTAGGCGTATTCTCAATTTTTGTTTATTTTGTAACTCAAACAAATTTCTTCAATACCTCAAATTTTTTGCTTGACTATATCCTATTATATATTTATATATTTGTAAACAATCGTCAGATTTCTTCATTGTCATGTCCAAAGAATTTTTCCATAATTTTTTCTTCAAAATCTGTTTTTTTATCAAATCCACAATTATACATCACCAAATCACTTTTTTGAAATCTGATTTTTTGGAATGCAATTATTTATTTAAATTTTTTAAGTTTTATGATATTTAATATTGTCATATTAATGATAAGATACAAGTTGATATAATACATTTAAAAATTTCAAAAATAACTTAAAATTTATAGATTTTTTAGTAACAACTTGTAATAATATTCTATTTATATTTTTTAAATAAATTTATTAGAGATATATCAATAATTGTTAGATCTATAATAAATGTTTTAAGAAACTTGTTATTTATTTACGTGAATTATTTTATTTTATTAATTTGCGTGAATTTATTTTATTAAATTTTAATTTGCATTACTTTGAATTGAATATTATGTACATATTAAATAAAATATTTTGGGCATTTTTTTTGCAAATTTGAAATACCTATCAATTTATTATTTTATTTTACTCTTTGTCAACAAATCAATTATTTAGTTAAAATCAAAATTCTGCTGACAAAATTTAAATTCTACAGGAATAAATCAATTATTCTATTAGCAAAAATACATTTGAGAAATACTATCAAAAATATTAATTTTTCAGCAGAAATCAAAATTATGGTAGATTATTAACAAAATTTTAATCCTTCAATTTTTAATTAATATTTTAAAATATTGAAGAAATTTATAATTTTGTTAAAAAAATGTAGAGTATGGAAGTATTAAATTCTATGAAAAATTACAAAATATAAAAACTTGATTCATAACGTTTTAGGAAGGATTTTTTTAATATCGTATGAACAAAACAATGATTTCTATTTAAAAATAATATTACCAAATAGAAATCTAAGTCAAAACTACGTAAGCAAAATTCTAGGAGATTCAATAGTATACGATATTAATTTCATTCTCATTATGTTTTAATTAGCCAATAAATTTTTATTACCAATTTTTATTACCAATTTTTATTACTTAATTGTTAAATTTATTATGATAAAATTGGACGTCTGAATTAGTTATTGGCCAGTTTTAGTTCAACTCGGATACTTTGGTGATGGTGAAATTTTAGAAAGATGAAGAAAGTCTTCTTTCTACTTTTTTGTACTCTTATGGTTCCATTTGTGATAGGCAGTAAGTTGTAATTTATAATTGTAAAATTCGAAAATCCAAATATCCTATTTGAAAATGGTAAAATCTCAATTTATTGCAAGCAAGATATTTGAAACTAATTCAAAAAACAATGATAAAAGAAATTTCGAAAAATTTAACAGTTCTGCAACTCAATTTAATTTTTTTTGTTGATATAGAAATTTTTAATAAGTTTTGCATTATTTTTCAACTAATCCTGATGAAATTTTTACCGGAATAATAATTTTATTCAATTATATTCTAGAAATAATAAGCAAATTTTGTTTAAATATAATGATTATAATTTTATTTCAATAATACAATTAATAAACTAAAAATTAAATATTATTTTTCAGGACCTGGAAGCAACAAATATAAAAGACAAACAGGTATTAAACATTTTTTATTTATACGAAGTTTTCATTGGTTTTTAAAATATTTTGAAAATTAATAATTACATTACTTAAGTATTATTTAATAATTATTCAAGTATTATATAATTATGAAATTGTATTTTTCAGATGTAAGTGAACAATATGATGGAATTTTACCAGTCGGACCATTTATGAATCCTCCTCCAGGAGTTTTTGGAATGTTGCATCATCGTAAATATTATTATTATTATTATTATTATTATATATATATATATACATATATATACATATTAAATCATTTTGTTTATGAATTATTTATTTAATAATTCCTAAAATTTTATAATTGTTTCATGCAAATCCCGAAGAAGTTCGTTATTGTCAAAAAATCCGATTTGCTAATTTTATGTTTTCTCGACGTTTTGAGTCATTCTGAATCGAATGAGACTTAATTTGCTAAAAGTATGTTTTTGACATTTTATTGCTCAAGAACGGCTGGACCGATTTCAAAAATTTAAAACCCATTCGTTGTAACTGGCCTTAAGGCAATATGCCACTTGCAACTAGATCATTTTCATAATTATGAATTTGCTATTTTCTATTTTTTCGAAATTTGGAAAATGTATATTTTTGACCTTTTATAGACATTTTCTCAAAAACGGCTAGACCAATTTTGAAACATTAAAAGTCATTCGATGTAACTTGCCTCAAGGCAATATACCACTTACAATTAATTTATTTTTATAATTATGAATCTTCTATTTTTTATTTTTTTGAAATTTAGCAAAAGTATGGTTTTGCTCTTTCATACACATTTTCTCAAAAACGGGTAGACCGATTTTAAAAATTTAAAAGCTATTCGATGTAACTTGCCTCAAGACAATATACCACTTACAACTAGATCATTTTCATAATTAACTTTCCGTAGGGTAAGTTATAGTAATCGCAAAAATCGAAAATTAAAATTTACGTTTCAGAAGTTTCTGAATATTTTGACATACCTTAGAAAAAATTGATGTATGTGTGTGTATGTGCGGATACAAATTTTCGTCGACGATTTCGGGAACACGAATAAGGCGATTTGAATAATTCAAAAAACATTCGATTCGTATTGATAAGAAGACGTGCTGATTAGTTTTTGGCGAAGGCAGGTCTAGCCGTTCCGAAGATACGGGGTTAAAAGTGCCGAAAACGGTAACTCAGTTTTTAAGAGAACGGAACGTCCGATTTTAATAATTCAAAAAACATTTCACTTGTATTGACAAGATGAAGAATTGATCAAATTTTGATGAAGGCAGGTCTAGCGGTTTCGGAGATCTAATGAAAATAATAAAAAAAAAGGCATTGGCGGTCAAAAATGATCATTAGACATATGCACATCAAATTATCAGATTTAGATAGATTTTAACAATAAGTATACATTTTTTTGCATTTCTATGGGTTCCGTACCAATGCTTATGCGTTAGACGGCGACGCGCTTTGATATAGCGCTTTGATATAGCGTCTCTATGCAGTTAAAGCAGTACGATTGCTTTGAAAAAAAAAGTTCAGAATTTCCAAAAGATGTCAAAATAAAGAAAACATTTTTTTTTCAAAAAAAATTCTTTTTTAAAAAAATGTCAAATTCCTAGTTTCTCAAAAATCTAATTTTTTCGAAGTAAAAATTTTTCAAAAATGTTAATCGTTTTTTAAAAAAATAATAATATTTGGTACGGGAAGTTCCAGCAATTTGCCTTAAGGCACGATGCCCTAATTGCCTTAGGGTCCGTTCAAGTATTACGTAAGCACTATAGGGGGGCGGGGGGTTTGTTGATTTGCTTATTTTGGGTTGACATGGGGGGCAGGGTAGTGTGGATGATGATTACGTCATAGGTAGTATTTTTATTTTTTTACATTAATTGCAAAATTTTTACGTAAGCATGGACGTAGGGGGTAAGAGCTTTGCTTACTTTTGCTGACAAGGGCGATGGGGGTGGAGTAAATAATTGTAATAAATCTGCTTACGTGATACTTGAACGATCCCTTAAGACAGAATTCCACTTACAGCTAGTTTTTTTTTTATTTTCAGCTGTCGAATGTGTGGAACCCAACGAGATCTATCAACATTGCGAAGGGCACTGCGACCAAATGTGCGACGGAAGTAACAAATATGGTGTTCCTTGCACTACCGATTCATGCATTTCCGGATGCAACTGCAAACCAGGATACGCCAGAAACGCTGAAAACATTTGCGTTCAAATTACGAAGTGCTAGAAGAAAAATAATGAACACAAATTTGAAAAAACAAATTCATGAACCAAGTAACGATTTGATGATTAATAGATATGTTTTAATTATTGATGATGATAAAAATAATTAAAATAAATTATTAATTATTGAATAATAGTAGTCATTTTTTGCTGCTTTGACTTATAGTGTATCTGAAACAAAAATTTTTAGGTCATTTTGTATTTGTTCATTGCATATAAAAAATTTGTAGTAAAAATACTGCATATGGGTAGAGAATATAGGGTTTGTCAGTTTTCAAAAACCGTTTTTTTTTGGCGAAAATTATGAAATTCGAAAACCGGTTTTTTAGTGAAAAAAGTCGGTTTTCACTGTATAAATGGAAAATGACAAATATAGCCAAATGTAAAAGAAAGATAAAAGCGTTTTGATTCTTGAAATCATATCGGTTCAATAGCATTTGATATCTTATCAGTCTGCAATGGTTCCCAGAAAGGTTTTGTATATATTAATTTAGATTTTTATATCAGTGTACAAATTAATTTAAATCAGTGTGACTTCTTCTTGAAGAAGTAAATTCCTCTACTCAAACTTG